GAAATTATATTTTTTTAAGTAAAAACTAAAAAAAATTTCAAAATTTTTTTCAAAAATTTCTGAATTTTCAAAAAATGTTTTTCAAAAAAAACCCTCATAGGCGTGTTTCTGGGGTTGAACTATGCTACCAGTTAAAATACTTAATTTAATTTTAATATACCAATTTTGTCACGATATAAAAATGTTTGTATCAATAGCCGATCGAACGTTTATAAAAAATAAACAATTATTGATATTATTTTAAATTATGTATTTTACATACCTATAAAATGAAAAAAAAACGTACCAAACAATTCGAATCTTTCCGGGGATTTGGAAAACGGAAAAACTTCCATTTTTGTTGTCGCAATTAAGAACGCTACAGTTCTTCTTCGCAGGTTTGCGGTCGAAAAAGCCATTGCAATTAAATATGATAATTAAAATAAAATGTAAGGTACTTTACCCAATTAAGGCCAGTGCTACTATAAGGCCATACGCCCCCTAGCGACAGAAAACAAACCTAACGTAAAAATTGTAACTAACAATAATATATACCCATGCGCTCTATAACTTTAGTCTATGGGTGATTTCAAAAAATCGCCAACAGATGGAGTTACAGCACATCGTGGTTTGTAGCCGTTTTCGTTAAGGGATTCTTGTATATGTTGTTTGTGATTTTTTATTGAAATTGTTTTTTATAACTTTTCTTTTTACATAAGGAGTTACCAAGGTAAGTTAGCTTAATGGTAGTAATTTGGGTTTTTTGTTATTTTCAACTTTAAAGGAGTTACGAGGGTTTGTTGTTTTAAGGTTATGCGTTCCTAATAAAGCCACCTGAGTGGCCTTGTTAGGAACTATGTGGCCTTATTAGGTTCTTACCTATTTTCTTCTCTATTCTCAGAACATGCCACCCACACAAAGAGCAAAATGGTCCGAGCAGCAGTTGAGGAGAGCTCTTGCGAGTATAAATCAGGGAATGCCTGTCCTGACAGCGGCTAAGCGCTATGATATTCCGAGACGAACCCTTCGAAACCATGTCACAACTGGAAGTTTCGTTAAGAAATTGGGGAGATCCTCAATACTAACCGTAGAACAAGAAAATGAGTTGTGTCAACGTATTATAAGGTTAGGCAATATCGGAGTACCTTTGACAAACAAAATCATTCGAAAGTCGGTGTATACATTTGCAAACACTAGAAATATTAGACACTGTTTTAATCGAGAAAAGGAAATGGCTGGCAGAAGATGGATAAAATTATTTTTTGCCAGGCACCCAGAAATCACCGAGCGTAAAGCTCAGCTTCTTAATCCCGCTAGGGCCCAAAAAATGAACAAAACCATTGTAAATGACTATTTTACTAAACTAAAACAGATAATGACTGAAAAAAACTTTATTGACAAGCCGCACTTGATATTTAACATGGATGAAAAGGGTTGCAGATTGACCCTACACCATCAGCAAAAGGTCCTTGCCAGAAAAGGTGAAAGGAGGGTTCACATAATTGCAACGGAGCATGCCGAAAACGTGACTGTGGTCGCTTGTGGCAGCGCAGTTGGTCAAGCCATACCCCCAATGGTCTTATTTAAAGGAAAAAGGTGCAAGGACGAATGGAAAGAAAATATGGCTCCTGGGACTGTTATTGAAATGACACCTAAGGGGAGCATGACCACAAGTGTTTTTTGTAAGTGGCTACAGCACTTCGCTAAATTTAAGCCCGAAGGAGACGTTTTGCTGATAATGGATGGAGCAGCCTCTCACCTGGATATTTCTGTTTTTGAAACCGCAGATGCATTGGGAATAACTCTTTTGTGTCTGCCTAGCAACACCACACACGAGTTACAACCACTTGATAAATGCGTTTTTCGCAGCTTTGAACATTATTGGGACGAAGAAGTATTACTGTATTGGACAACTTTTCCTGATAGAAAAATAACAAGAACTCGGTTTGGTAAGATACTCAGCGAAATTTACCCAAAAGCTATGTCTGTGAAAAATTTACAGTCGGCTTTTGAAGCCACTGGAATATTTCCATACAACCCTAATTCCATACCAGAAATTGCATTTGCTCCTAGTAGATTGTCCTATCGTGCATCTCCTGCAGCTAATAATGAAGATGGAATGGAAGATCCACAAATAAATCCTCGTAACGAAGTAACGTTAAGCTCTTCAGAATCAGAAGAAGGATCCGATAGTGATTCTGATAATGAACCACTCATTAATTTGGTTCTGAAGAAGAAAATATCTTTGGATTGTAACGGTAATAAAACTACTGATGCAATTGAACCTGAAACTAGGAATGAAAATCAAGACTCAATTTTGAATGAATCGAGGGAGAGTATGAAGGAATTGTTTCCAACACCTGAATTAAAAATTCCAGTCACTAAACGACGCAAAGCAATTAATTCAGCTGCTCAAGTTGTTGTCAGAGATTTATTTAACAAACCTTCCTCTAGTTTTGCCGAACCTTCCACTAGTTTTGCGGTACCTTCGACGAGTAACAGAGAAAATTTAACTCCTTCAACTTCCAAAGTTAAGAATAAAAATAAAGCTTTAAAAAGTAAAAAGCCATCAACGGAGAGTTGGTACTGCTTTATTTGTAAGGAAGATAGGGTGTTAGACATGCGACTTTGTGTGTTGTGTTGCCGATACGTCCATGAGGAATGTGTCGGGTTATGCAGGGATAATAAAACCAAGTTTGTTTGTTACGATTGCGAAATTTAGTAAGTTTCTTGGTTAAATAAAAATGTTATCAACAAAAAATTGTTTTTTTTATTGTAATAGCTCCTATTTATCAATTTCTGCACGTGGCCTTTAAAAGTGCCTGGGTTACCCAATAAGGCCAATTGCAGTGTTTTTAAAAAAACAAAAAAAATCCACAAAACAAACAAAAAATTATACTTTTTTTGATGTAGGATCAACATATATGAAGCACTAATTGTTCCCCAATATTTTCTACAAGGGTTGGATTAATATTTTTCTTGCAATGCCCCTTTAAACCTTAACGTGGCCTTAATTGGTTCAGGTACCTTACTTGATAAAATAAGTACAAATACACCAGTAATTAATGAGGAAACTGCCAAAATCACACACCGAATATTCACAAAACACAACGAAATAAAAATATTGACAAAATATTTAAAAAGCAAATGAATATTTTTTATTAATTTTTTAATGACTACCAGCACCTCTAGTGTTTGTTCGCACAATACAGCTTTTACTTTCAGTCATTGCCATTACAGAACATGTTCACAAAACAACCCTCTTTAGACCTTTTTTTAATACCCATAAATGGCAGTAAAAGACTAACCGTGCAAACAAACACTAGAGGCGCCACCGGTCATGAAATGGTGTAAAAATTGCTAAAATTTAATCATTTAATTTTGACACAGCAGGGTAGCGCTTAACTTTTTCAATGCTAATTCAGTTTTCATTGTTTTCAAACTATATTATTAGGTTTTGTTGTATTTTGTGAATGTATAAATGTTTTCTTAGTATAAAGTCGCATTATATTAATTTAGACAATTCTGTTATATTTTATATTATTTCAAAAGCAAAACCATGGTATACAGCGTAATTTTGATATACAGGTTCAAAACAAAAAGTGCTCTTATATTTTCCAGTTTTTGTTGTCAATCGCGAAAGTTTCAGTGATTTTAGTGTTGTCGGATATTTTTATTTGTGAAAAAGAAATATTGCGTTTGGATTGCAAAACTAACAGTGACAGTTTTATTGCAATGTAAGTAAGGGTTTGTCCATTTTATATTTTACTTTTTTCATACCTACGGCTTTTTATTTACTTTCATTGCTTAACATGACAGATAAAGTTCTAAAGGGGGATGTTTTGTGAACGTGGACTACTCACAAATACACGTCGCGACATTACGTATTTCCCTTGATTAAAGGGTATTTCTAAAGGTGGTATGTATTCAATATAAACGCGAATTGTGAATTTCGCAAAATAAATCCGGCATTTATTTAGGTCATATAATAACAAAATTCGCAATTAATTCTATGGGATATTTGTGTTTTTAAACACCTGTTGAAAATGTGATTTGTCAGGTTTATTTTTATAAGTATATTTTTGTGTAATCGATGAAGCTATTTATGTTTGGCGTAGACGACGCGCGACGATCTATTGCTCTATATTTACTAATAAAGAAAAAAACAACAACAATAAAATACATAGGACAATAATTGGAACGTGTGAAATATTTAAAAAGTGAAAACAGCAAGGAAAATATCACAATTTAGTGCAATAAATGAGAATTGACGATGAAAAAAATTAGAAACTGTCATAGAATACCATGAATGAATTTTCCAACAACATTACCAGTTTGCAGTCAAAACATTCCACATCCTACTGCAAATTAAAAAAAAATGAAATTAGATTGTAAAAAAATAAGTACCTAATAATGATTATGCACAATTTTTTCATAACTTTTCAGTTTCTTTGATATTAACTAATGTTTATATTATTATAACCACAACAAGAAATGTATTACAGGAGATGACATATAACAAAAAAACTCAAAATTCGCAGCGAATATTCGCAAAAATTACATCAGTGTCAATATTCCCGCCCCAAATTTTAAATTATTCGAATTCGCAAAATATTAAAACAACTTTCTGTCAATTTTCCCGCCTATGTATTTTTTTTAATTGAGCAATAACAACAATATTTGCAATTGACAATTTGCGGGTATATGAACCTACCTTAAGCCGTAGGCTGTCCTTACCACTTTTCGTCTCGCTAGCTTGTGTGTCACGGCCTTGAATATTTACACACAGAGCGCGTAAAGAAGTTTCACTTCAAAAATCAGGCACATTTGTTTGTTATTATTTATTATGCTATCCAAAAGCTTTTGGATGGACTCTGACCATTAATGAAATTCTAATGTAATTTCCCATGGGAATCATGTATGTTAATTATAAATGTTTCCGATCAAAGATTGTTTCACAATGTGACATTTTGCCACATCCGAAAACTACCAAAAATTATGCATGTTATTACGCCCCCGCTTAAATTTCTAATAAAGCCCGATGAGAGTTAAAACGACGCCTCAGTTAACGTCCAGACTCCAAAGTTAGATCTCCTACATCAATATGTCTGTAAGTATTTCTAAACCTACATATATCCAGTTTACCGATGTGCTACTTTAAAAATACCCGAAGATATTTTAGGAAATTACAAGCGCCTAGCGCGCGATGATGCAAGCTTCAAAAAAACATTTTCAAATTTTAATTTTAGATTCCCATTAATTGCTGGATTGGTAAAAATTATACTTATGGCATTTTTTCGTATTTCTGCATAAAATAAAACGGAGATTTTATCACTTTCTAAAAATACATTTCTTGTAGAAACGTAACAAGGAATTGGAAACTGAAGTTCTCGAATGGATCTTCAAGGTACTAGGCGAACCAGTTCCAAGTGGGGACTTTGAAAACATACTTAAGGATGGCGTTGTTCTATGTAACTTAGCAAATAAACTATCTCCTGGATCGGTGAAGAAAATTGCAACCAAAGGTACAAATTTCCAACTAATGGAAAATATACAAAGGTTTCAAGCAGCTATAAAAGCCTATGGAGTTCCGCAAGAAGAAATTTTCCAAACCGCAGATTTGTTTGAAAGACGAAACATTCCTCAGGTACTAAAAGTATTATTTATATGTTTTATAACTCATTAATTATTGTATTTTTTTCAGGTTGTTCTTTCACTTTATGCCTTAGGCCGATTAACGCAGAAGCATCCTGAATACAATGGTCCATCTTTAGGTCCAAAAATGGCCGATAAAAATGAAAGAACATTTACTGAAGAACAATTGCGTGCCAGCGAAGGCCAACTTAATTTACAAATGGGTTATAATAAGGGAGCATCGCAATCTGGCCACGGCGGTTTTGGAAATACACGTCATATGTAATATTTTGTACAGTAATTATATTTGTTATATTTTTATATCGTTTAATAGCACACTAATAAATTTTTGCGAGCACTATATACCTGTCAATTATATTAAATGTGGTCATTAAAATGATGTCCGCAAGATACGGGTAACGTTGAGTTAGATGTCTCGCTTACCAAACTTTATAAATTACACCGAAACACCCTCACATCTACCTCGTTTATTATTTATATTGACAAAAACAAGTAACGAATATCCGAATATAATTAATTATACAGAGTGAGTCTTAAATCAGTGCAAATATGTTCAGGGCTAGTAGATCTCGATAAAAGAAACATATTTTCTCTTTATCGTTTTTCAAATAAGTCCAAAATAACCGAGTTATTTAAGTTTGAAAATTTTAAAAGAAACTGATTTTTTTAGAAAAAAATTTGAGAGCCACCGGATTTTTTTTGTATTTGCATCACTTTTATTGCCGTAACCATAGAGTAAAGCCGTAACTATGGTAATATCTGAGATTATTATTATATCGTGGGAAAATTTACGATGAACAGGCAGTTCTAAAAAGTTTTCGAAAAATATACAGGGAAATTTAAAACAAAATGCACGATTTTCAACATCTTTTTTTTAGCGAAAAAAAAACTCATAGACGTGTTCCTGGGGTCGAAATATACCACCCCTGGATATATTTGTAGTTATTTAAGACTCACCCTGTATATGCGTTTTAATATATGTATATCAAATTAATACTAGTTTTATATAAACAAACAATATTTGTTATATCTTAACAAAATACATAGAGTAAGTCAAATGTATCCATACGAACTACAAACTATATTCTATATTTTTTCCGAGGTTTTGCCGATGAATATATAAATATATTATACAGTATGTCGCCGGATTATCTTTACAAGAGGAAAAACTTTTTTATTATTCCCATTTTGAGAAAAATGCATTCTCCGTAAAAAGTTTTGCTTGTTCTAAAATGGTTAATTCCGTTTATACTTTTTCAAATTTCCGTACTGTTTTAGAGATTAAAAACATGAAAATATCGCTCAATTTCTTCCGAAGTCCTAAAAATCAAAACGCGTTTCTATGGCAATATAAGTTCGTTTTCATTTTTGATAGACTGTTATTGATAGAATTTTATTTAACTTCATATTTTTTGTTGTTTTAAAATGGCAAAGAATCACAAAATTTATTTAGTTCAATGCTACACAAGGGTGATAATAGTTATCGGAAAGAAACTTTAACAACAACTAAGAATATGACGTTAATCAAAATTAATAATAACCATCTATCAAAGAATGAAATTAAAATGTTATTACCATAGAAACGCCTTTTGATTTTTAGGACTTTAAGCTTCATTCAGAACCTAGCAATTAGTGGAATAAATTAGTGGTTTCAATTACACTTTATACTTTTTAATTTAGGATTATTCACAATTTTTAATAAACACAACTAAAATTAATGGAATATCTAATATTTAGAGAGAAAACCTAATATTTAGCTTATTAAAACAATTAACTTTTGATTTCTAAACAGAATTTCTCTTGGCGGAACATAATCAAATGCCAAAATGACATTTCTCGCAAATTTTGAAGTATAAGAAAGAAAGAAGACGAAGAAATTCAACGGTATTTTCATGTTTTTTTTTAATTTTCTCTAAAACGGAATGGAAATTTGAAAAGGTGTAAATGGGATTAACCATTTAAGAACAAGAATTTTTTTTATAAAAAATGCATTTCTCTCAAAATGTCAATAATAAAATCAGTTTTTCCTCTTGTAAAGATAATCCGGGGACATTGTATAGAAACTATACCAGGCGCGTCTCAAAAGTGGCTCACCGCTATAACTTTTTTATTTTTTCAGATAAAAAAACGAGATTTAGTTCTAATATATTACATAAATTAATATTGATTGGCGTATTCATTTGTTTTTGGTCACTTCCTGTGTCACCGAAAATGACTACAACTTTTGATTTTTAATATACCAAGTGTGTGATACTAAATTATTCATAAATATAAAAAAAGACTTTTTCCAAATATGCTTAAAAACGATTTGGGCATCTTTTAACCGACCAGGACAAGACACGAAAAACATTAGATGATCAAATCTATTTTTCCAAGGCTCCTTTGTTAAAAATTAGTGTTTTTAACACGGCCATGGCACTCTAGATTGAGATATGACATGTCATTCTATTCAGAGTGTCATATTCGAATAAAGTAAAAATATACAGAGGTTGCCATTTAAAAATCAAAAGTTGTAGTCATTTCCGGTCAAACAGGAAGTAACCAAAAACAGTTGAATGCGTCAATCAATCCTAATTTATGACATACTACTTGAAGCCTGGCGCATCCGCCAGGACATCAGGAAAAAAAAACTTTTTTTAATTAAATGAAAAACAAAAAATCCGGCGACGACAGTTTTTAGAAGAGCCAATTAGCTATCTTTTAGTAAAAAAAGCAACTTTCTAGAGCAAGTCGTTACTTCAGTAGAGACGACACAGATAAATATTAGCATTTTATATACAGGGTGGGCCACTGAAAACTTACAATGGCTATAATTTTTAAACCAAAAAAGATATCGAAAAAATAAAAAATACCGTTTCTATAATATCGAGAGGGAATACATATGACGTATTTTTTGAACCACCACGACCTACCCCTTAGGCGGCACCCCTATTCACTTGAAAATCTTAAATGGCAACACCCCACTTGTGGCGCCTTTTTGGAAAGCCCATGAAAAATGCTAAACGATGATCACAAAGTTATTAGGGTGAAATTGAATCCTAATTTTTTCCTTACACGAAAAATTAGGTGGAAATTAATGAAAAAAAGTGATTTTTTCAGCAAGTTACAAATTGGGACCCAGCTAAATGAGGCAAATGAGGTATTTTTCAAACCACCCCGACCCACCCCTAGGTGCTACCCCCTCACTTCTAATCTCATCGTTGATCATTGAAGCTGAAAATAAAAAATGTAGATAATAAAAAAGGCAACACAAAGATGTTTTACTAATCGTCCAGCTTAATTTTGCGATAACGCAAATTCTTCCTTATCATCTATTTTTTTACTTTCAACAAACAGGAATCTTAAAACGGCATATCTTTGCGTTTTTGCACTGCCTTCTATCGATTTTCAATTGTTTGCAAATTTGGTGGTATTTTAAACCTTTATTTACTCGTAATTAGCTTATTTGAAAGAAAAATGGTTTATACTGTGGAAGAAAGAATTCAAATAGTTTTTCTTTATGGTGCTGAAGGTATGTGCTATTTGAGAACGTCCCGTGCCTTCAATGAGAGAAATCCGGACAAAAACGTAAGTCACGTTTATGTTAGAGATTTGATTCTAAAGTTTCAAGAAACTGGATCGGTCAAAAATAAAAAAAAGGACAGGGCCTAGGGTACTGAATGAAGAAATGCAGATGGAAGTTATTGGTCAGGTATCGGTCAATCCAGAAACATCAACACGCCAGTTGACATCAATCACAGGTATACCTCGAACATCTGTCAGAAGAGTATTGAAACTGTACAAATTCCATCCCTAAAAAATGAAGATTCTGCTTGGCGACGACGATCCAGATAGAAGGGTTCAGTTCTGTGAACTAATGACGGAGGAAATTCGAAGGGAACTTTCACTCACTAAAAATTTTTGTTTTAGTGATGAGTGCTCATTTTTTTAAACGGAAATGTGAATAAGCAGAACTGCAGAGACTGGAGCGATGAGAATCCGCATATTGTTGTTGAAGGACACAGCCAACATCCCCAAAAGCTCAATGTTTGGTGCGGAATACTAGGCAATAAAATTATAGGTCCATTTTTCATCGACGGAAATTTGACTGGTGATGCTTATGTGGTGCTGAACAATTTGATAGAGCCAGCCATTGTAAATGAGGTTGAAAATCAAAGAGATTTGGAAGGAAATTTAACTCTTAATGAAGACATCATACACTTCCAGCAAGATGGAGCCCCTCCGCATTATTCTATTGTCGCGGTGGTTGGATAGATATTATTCAAGGCAATGGATTGGCAGAAGGGGTCCAATTGAGTGGCCGCCAAGGTCACCTGATCTCACTCCTTTAGACTCTTTCTTGTGGGGTTACACTAAATTCATATCTACAAGACAAAACCAGGTTCGTTGCAAGAATTGCGGCAGAGAATAACTGAAGCATGTCGAAATATTCCGAGAGAGACTTTCCAAAAAGTGAGAGAAGAATTTGAAAATCGTTTGTATTTTTGTATGGAACAAAACGGCTGTCATTTTGAGCAATTGTTAAAATAAATTATCATTTTAAATTTCTTTCAAATTGTCACACCTACATTTCTTATCACTACTTACGACTTATGACCATCGTTTAGCAATTTTAATTAGCTTTCCAAAGAAGTGTCACAAGTGGGGTATCGCTATCTTGATATTAGAAGTGAGGGGGTGGCACCTAGGGGTGGGTCAGAGTGGTTTGAAAAATACCTCATTTGCCTCATTTAACTGGGTCCCAATTGATAACTTATGTAATATCAAAAAATCACTTTTTTCATTAATGTCCATCTAATTTTTCGTGTAAGGGGTAGCTTTTCAATTTCACCCTAAAAACTTTATGATCATCGTTTAGCATTTTTCATGGGCTTTCCAAAAAGGCGCCACAAGCGGGGTGTTTCCATTTAAGATTTTCAAGTGAGTAGGGGTGCCGCCTAAGGGTTAGGTCGGGGTGGTTCAAAAATACGTCATATGTATTCCCCCTCGATATTATAGAAACGGTATTTTTTATTTTTTTGATATCTTATTTGGTATAAAAAATATAGCCATTGTAAGTTTTCAGTGGCCCACCCTGTATGTAGATACTAGCATACCAAATCTCGTTTTTTTTTTTATCTAAAAAATAGGGTGAGCCACTTTTGAAACGCTCCCGGTATAGAAAATGTTCAAAGATATTAATTATTTCAAATTTTCTTTTAATGGAAAAAAGCAACAGTGTAAAATATATACAGAGAACCTTAGACTTTAATATGATCCATATTATATTCGATCATTAAAAGTATACTGGAATGTCATTCCAGTTCAGAAAAAAAAATATCAAAAACATATAAACAATAATA